AATAGATGTGGATTATATATATATATATATATATATATATATATTGTACAAACCAACAAACTGAAGACATCCAAATATGCATTACACATGGTACTGTATGTATCTTATTTTTGTGTATTATATAAATTTATCATCTACATTCTGGACCTATATCAATTTCTGTAATTTAACAAAAAGAAAAGAAATTAAGTTCTTTGTCAATTTCCATCCTAAGTTACAAAAACAGACTAAAACCACCCATATTGAACTTCAGTATACACACACACACAGAAACTCTCAAGTTCGGTCTCTACAAAATCAACCTGAATGTTACAGATATCAATAAATATGGCAAATGAAACAAGTCCATAAACTATGTAGCCTGAAGATTAATGCTTCAATGGTAAATGCTTGTGATTGACAAAATAGCTCACATAATATAAAGCCAGAACAGTAACAGGTTACTCTAACATTTCCCCAGGATTTGTTGCACAACTGAAAGTGAAATAGAGATGCAGGGGAGAGGGCGTGTGTTTGTGTCTATAACACTGAAAATCTTGCCTAATTTCAGCCCTGTATAAAATCGAACGTGTTAATATATCATCTACATGCTGGGCCTATATCAATATCTACCTTAATTTGGCCTTAATTTCATATATTTTTTAAGTTAATGTGCTTTGTCACTTTCCATCCTAAGTTACAAAAACATTTTGATAAACACGAGAATCAAACATGACACCTTATAAGTCACCACATTTATTTGATTCAACTGTTTATTTTTCTAGCTTACTATACACTAGTTAATGATCAATTCTACCAAAATATTTTTTAAGGTTCCACAAGGGTTAACTTACCTAAAAGTTATTTCATTAAGGTGAATAGATATTTATAATGTTCATAGTAATATAAAAAATGTTTAAGAATACTACTAAGTTTGCATACTTAAAAACTTTTCTAATCTAGTTTTGAATAACACAATCACTAACAAAGAAAACATCAAAAACACAAGAGCCATATCTTGCAACCATTCTAATCCATACTAACTGGAGTTCCTGTTGAACATACTGGTGAAATAAAAACTCGTTTGTAAGAAAGGGTAGGAAATTGTGCTTTTTATTTACCTTAATATAATAAACATTAAACGTGCAATAAAAATACATAAAGATGCCAATACTGAAAAGAAAGACATACTGTTTTCAAGAGTTCTATCAATATGAAATTAGATAATGTACACTTTGACATTCTGAGAGGCCCTGAACTATGAATAATGGTTAACAAAGTTCACACAGTTTTAGGGTTGCTATAACCAACAGAGCCTAATCACTGAATACACATCTAGTTTTATCAATACTGTACACATTAAATTGACTTACAAGTTTACATCATTTCTCATTTACAAACAATAGTAACATCTCAGTTTTTTTCTATGAGATTTTGAGTGGTCAACCTATGAAAAAGCAAACCACGAAGGAAAGGTTCAACATCGTAAATGTATAATTCAATAAATATAAGAACGTAATCATAATTTGAGAGCCACAAATCAATCAGAAAAATATTCCTTCAGCGTGCCTACAAATAATAACCACCCGTGAATACAACTCGAGGTGGACAAGACGAATATCGACATGCCAATACATCCTAAGAAATACACCGTATGTTCCGTGGGTCTACCCAGCTTGTGAGAAAGAGATTACGGGAACCGTGTTTCATGCACCGCGTAATACCAAATGGTCTACAGATGGTGCCGGGCAACATCAGACTGTAATTAGTACGATCTCTCTTTCATCCATTTCTTTGTGTATTTTGTATTAAATTATGAAATGTGTTGTGTTATCGGTATACACAAACGATTGAAATCGAACCAGTGGTGTTATCAGTAGGTCCCGATTTTAACTGATTTTTCCCGCGTTTTGTCTGTTTTAAAGCAATTTCTAGTGACATGGCTACACGACTTCAAAATAATGTACAAAAGAAAAAAAACAAAAAAAACAAAGAAAATTCTATTAGAATTGCTATGCTCAAAATATCAATAACAAATGTAACTACGAGTGTTAAAACATAGCCACAACTCTGTTTTATTGATATTTTAGGATTCCCTCATTTCTAAGATTGCCTATCTTGTTTAAATTTAATGGATTAAACTTTACTGGCGGATTTTTTTTTTTGGTGATTGTTTAATGCAGGATCGAATGAGCTGACGAGTGATATCTAATGGGATACTACTGATGTGCTCGTACAACACGCGCTTTTGTTTAAAGAAACAAAAAAGTAAATTTTATCTCAACAGATTTCAGAATAATGGAAAGTCGTTCGTCAGGAGTCCAGTCTTGAGAAAAGACTATCACGCTAACACTAAAGATGAACAACTTTAGGGATTAGATCAGCCCAGTTAACATTAGTAATTTAAGTAAAATGTATAAATATTTAACGGAAGTAACAACAACAAAAAATGTAACGTTTTTAATTAAGCTTAAAGAGATCTTGTTAATTTCCAATTTAAATCAAATCCTACTTGGAACTCCCCATCCAAGTCTACGACTACTACTTAAAACAAATGTTACTAAAATGAATTACTTTGCATAGATATTTAATGCTACTAGTTTGGGGCAGTTTAAGTATTTCAAATTTATTATTTAAAGTTTTATGGAGGGAAATGAAACTAACGTTGACGATAGCGAACGGCCGCACCAAACTCAGTAATTCAAGAGATCTTTATAACACCCAAACATAAAAATCTTGTAAAATAAAACTATCATTCACACGAAGGTTATCTTACTGTATCGACATTATTACGTCAGTTTTACGTGCGATAAAGCAAACATGTTTGAAAATTAGTATTTCCTATTCTATTATTTAAAAAATAATTCTTCTTTAATAATGTCTTATACTAAACAACCGAGTTTTAAATTTTAATTCGGAAGTATTTCTCAAAATCAGAAATACTAATATGTTCTAATCACGTCAACGTAAAATATGTCGAAAGACCTGTCGTTATCACAATCGCTAATTTACACAGTAAATATGCAGTAATGCTTAAAGTTAAAACCAATATTATTTAGAAAGAGAT